AAAGCTGTTGTCACACTATGTCGTAGATATAAGACTTGTCTGCCGACCAAGTTCCTCAAAACATTTCACTGTGTAGCTTGTTATACAAAGAGCAAAATTGTTACAAGACATTTTGCTGACAATAACAGAGGCAGCTAAACTAAAGGCTAAAGGCAGTTAATGTGGCACCACTGGGATTATGAAAAACATTTAATATGTTTACTAGATATCTTCAATAAGCAAGTTAGTTTTAATGGAGAAAATAATGAACAAGGGAACCAAGAAAATAATGAACAAGGGAACCAAACTCTTGTCAGTCATATGGAGAATATTACACAGCAGCACAAAGATAAGAATTTTATTTTTGAGTGCCTGTCATAAAAACAATATTTACGAACAAGCACAGTGGGCAAGTAAAATATTGTTTTAAATTTTAACATGAGAAAATAAAAACCAGATCTTCAGGCCACCATGTAATTTTCCTTTTATTATTTGGAAAAACTGATCCTTTGTGCAAACAACCGCAAAAAGGTGGGGAATAATATCACTAATGAGGACATGGAAAATATTCCACACAGGTCGTGAATGTAGTTTCATATGAATTTTACAAGTGGTGTAGTTTCCAGTAAAACAATTGTTTTTATATGATAAAACAAGGTGTCAGTACAGGGTACAAAAGAAAACAATTTTCTGGCTTCCCCTTTGGGCATGCTGTAACAGGACTATGATGTATTAGCCCAAAAGTCATTGTCAACTAGCCGCAAAAATTCCATGTCTTACATTACTTTAATCTTTACTTTGAATTCTGCCAAGAAACTGCACTTAGCCTGTTGAGCAAGTGAGGGACAGAATCCACTGGACTGACTGCAAAATTTAGTAGCACCAGGGTATTGGACACAACTCTCTTTGCACCCACCTCAGTGCTGTATAAAGTGGACGTCCAGATTTAAAGAAAAGTGCAACTATAACAAGTAACTGTGTATTGCGCACTACATTGCATAGGTGATGTGATTAATCTGTCATGAAGCAGTTTGTCTTGCTTGCAACATTGATTTTTATATAATATTATTTCTGAAAATGCTAACACATGTGACTTGTCTCATGGTAGAGTTCTTCCAAATGTAGTTCCAGCTCTCCTCAATTTAATGATGGTATGTGTTTTCCCTGCCATTCTAACCATATTCCTGACCACTTGGTCTTCAGACAAGATACAATCTGTTGTTCTGCTATGTGACTGAAGTCCGATGGCTCTATTGAAGCAAGTACTTCTGTATACATAACCTTTGAGAACAATAACACAGAAGTAACACTTTAAGGATTCATGATTTCTCATGCATAATTTGTTTGTTAAATTACAGGCTGTTGATTAACTATGCATACTAGTTAATAAGCTGTTGAAAGTTTTTTTTTTTCCTGCACCCCTGGTACATGGTTTCGTTGCTTCTTTAACTTTGCTTTCTCTGAAATGACTTGACTACATTCCATTTTCTCTCCCATATCAATGAAATTCCTGTTCCCATCACATTTTCTCTCCCATATCGATAGAATGCTAGTTCCTCTCACATTTTTTGTCCCTCCTGGCCAGTCACGAAATTATCTTTGCAGGTTGTCCCAGCAATTCTTCAGTACAGAAATCCATTTATAAATGTAACTTATTACAGCTGAATACAGAGAGCTTCTGTGTCCTGAGTCTATAATAAATATGGAGTACAGTTGGAGAAGGATAAGGGGTGAAAATGGGATTTGAGAGGAGATAAGAAGCCTTTCCTATTACCTCTTCAACTATGTAAGTATCATAGTCGCAAAATACAGAGGGCTGTGTTCAAAGCTACAGCCCTTTGCACAGACTGAAGGCCTATGAGGCTAGGCAATCACTTTTGAAGAAAGTAACAATAATGTGTTTTCACTTGACTTCATGACAGCCATAATGGTGTGCCCAAACAATACAATAATTATTTCTCTCCTCTGGGATATGAGTTCTTCTTTTATACAAACATTCCTTATAGTTTGGGAACACCAAAATGACTAGACTGAATATCCTGAGACAACAAGGGCCATAAAATTATTATTGCAACCTTATCGCTCTTAATAATTATAACTACAATAATAATTATATTTAAGATAACATTATCGCTTACTTTTTTAGTTCCATCTTCCTCTCTTATGCCAAGTCCATTGTAATGGAAAGCTTTAAATGGCTTAACCTCATCTGCAAATGAATCCTGCAATAATATTCAAACATCTCACCGTTAACTTGTCCCAGTTAATGAATGTTCAGTGTACAGGCTTAAGACCACAAAGTCTAATTTTAACAGTTAAGTAGTTGGTTTAGCAAATTTTCTTCTGGAAGATTTGATGATCTCATACCTAGGAGATCTGTCAGTAATGTTAGCAGCTTTGTCATATTACTAAATTTTCTATAAATTAGCGATCTTTATTAGCTTGACTGATAACAAAACTCTTTTGTACAAATATATCAACACATTTAATGCTCCACCATACCTCCCCAGGAAAGAACTCTTTCAGAAAGTTCTGCAGAAGAATTATTCCCATAGAATCTTGATCTAGATGTTCCTTCATAAAGGATACACTAGAAATGGAAAAAAGCATAATGTTTGAAAATAAATAACATTATTATAATGACAAGGTAGTCTTGAGGTAAATCTGAGTGTTCTGATTGGTTCTTTCTTGGTCAGGATTTTGCCATACAGACCATAAGCCGTGTATTTTTGTTTTCAAGTCCCATATGCATACAATAAACTACTTTAACCTAGCTTGCTCAAGCCGAACTGAGGATTATTTGCCCTACATGTAGGTCAGTTCCACGACCTTGAGCCAATTATATCCTCTACAAAATAACGATGAGAAATGACCAAGTTCTGCATATGTTGGAGAACATGAGCCTCAGTGGCTATTTTTCTTATTTCATTATGGAATTGATCACTGGTGTTACATATTTCGCTTTAGCAGGTTTTGATACGATCGGCATCCAGAATCAATCTAGATAACTGTGAAATTTGAATGTAAAACAAATTAATTAATTTTTTGCCGGGCGCTGTCCTTGGTGTTGCCATTATCTTTGCTTAAGCTCTCTAATGTTGCTCCTGGCACACGAAATGGACTTACTATTCTGGATCAGAGACAAGTCCAAGATCTTCTAAAACATCTCCAAGCTGATCACTTGCTATGAAGCCATTGTCTGTTCAAAAGCAAAGCAAACTGTATTTCTTTTCGGTGTTAATTAGGTTGTTTTGTAAATTGTTTGCCATTGGGATAAGATTTTAGGCCTTTATATACCACTCCTTGTTAACATCACACCACTTGACACCGACCAGTTTACTCGAGGCTGTTTTTCCTTATTATGAAATTACTATCGTTGTGTAAAATAGCTTGTACGATTATTTTATATTTTCTGGCTTGTAACCTGTATTCGGATTGTCTCACATTCTTGTTAATAAACTTGATCATTGCTGGCGACTCCCTCCACTATTTACTTGTTGTAATTTTGTCTCCTTTAATACAAATTAAGTAATGGAAATGCTTTCTATTCAGTTGAGCAAAGTGAAGGAGAATAGAAGGGAGTTTCCTTGATGTTTGTGTCACATCACAATTATTTTGAAATGCCGGGCTGGCTTAATTTTAATGATACAATTGCTACCTAAATCTTGAATCATGTTCAGTGATAGCCACATAACCTTGTACAGTGTAATTGGATTATCAAATTATCTGAATTCATGACTATTTTCGGCAATACCCTGTTGGTCGTGGGATTTAAAAACTCTCAGTCCCTTTTCTCTTTCACTTTCGGATCCTGTTAGGCTTCTTTCCTGAAATAAAAGATATCACAATTTTATTAAAAGCTGGATCATTGGATAATGCAATTCGAGAGTATTCATTGGCTTAGCCATCGTGCCCAGGTTATGTTCTACAAAATATGGTAAGCATACATGTGATTTTTGGGGGCATTATTGTTTTTATTTTAGTCTAGTTTTCTATATTTTGGAGGTGTTTTCAATAAAACAATTATTCCACTCACGCTTGCTGGATATGACATGATTATAGCCAACTTGGCACTACACACCTCATTGGCTATGCACCATCTCATATCCAATGTGCGCCCGTGGAATAATTGCTAAATAATACCATCATATAATAGTTTAAAGATTTGTTTACAATTTTAATAAATTGATATAACATATACTGAGGTTAGATGTCCTCATTCCTTCCTTACTCTTGTCATATTAATTATATATCCAAATTATCTTAGCAAAAAAGACCCACAGGTATTAGTGAAACCAAGAGGGATGGTTTGCTGGAGCGTCATAAAAAGACACTGTGACGGTGTGGCTGAATGATTTATAGGGCACTCTCAGTATATAGAATTGAAATCCTGTGGTCCCATGGTCAATGTCTTCCATTCCTTTAACTAGCTGGGGTTATTCTTAGAATAACTCCCACATCCTGCGATGAACTAGAATCCCATCCAGGCGGAGTAGAAATACTCCTAGTTGCTTCATACTACAGAAACTGGGATAAGCTCCGGCTCATATGCAGACTTTAACTAGTTGGTCTGTCACCATCAAAAAGAAAATTATAAAATAATCATTATCTATCTTACCTGAGAGAAAAATACTGTAAGATGGGTTTCACTGGCAAGAAGCCATATTGGAAACATAGGAGATTTTAGAAAGTTGCCTACCTGTTACAAATAAACAGAATCAATTATAGTGTGGTTAACTAACAGACACGCTAACTGTTAACATTTTTGAAAAGTTTGTTTGTTGCCCACAAAAAGATTATTTGCAGCTTAATCTCAAGCATATGAAATCAGTAATTCAGTATCAAAAGATAACAGTTCTAAAATTTACCGCTAACTATACATTAAATTTATGGTGATTTTTAATGGGACAAGATATACCAAGATGTTCTGTGCATACATTGTACATACAAGAAAAAAGAAGCCAGAATTCTCAGCTTACTTCACAGTATCTGTGAGCTTCTAAAAGTGTTAAAAATCCTATAGAAGACTGTTTAGGAATACCCCTGAGCTCTGCAAAACAAAATTTATACATATGTCATATCTACATGTATCTTGAGTTCTTAAGGTCCTAACCTTAGTACATTTAGTCCTGATTTTAATGTGTAATTGATCAAGTCCTGTTTTTGTCACAATGACAAAACACTGGCATAACAGCTGTCGAGACTAAATGCTACCATATTTTTCATAAATTTAAGAGGACTTTGATACATTCTAATGCATTTTTTTTTAGTAAAAATGTAAATTATAAGCCCAAGGTTTTATCTAACTTTGAACTTGTTTCTATTCTTTGTCAAAAAAACTTTCACATTTCACGTATACAGTTAAACCCAGCTATTGTGAACTCTGAGAGGAAATGAAAAATAGTTCAAAATAGTGGGAGTTCGAAATAACCGATAGTAAATGACTGAAGGGCTAATCCAGGGGAAATGGTTTTGAGTTTGAAATAACAGGGAATTTGAAATAATTGAGCTCGAATCAGCGGGGGTCCAGCTGTATTTTTTAAGAATTTAGGTGTGAATACAGTGGAAGTGTAAACAAAGAATGAGGTACGTGTAAACTTAGGAGGGTGGCACTTGACTAGGTTTGACTCTAATGATTAGATGTACCTACCCAAGCCTGAGAGTGTTTTTGATGAGTCCCACACATTTGAAACACTGTATCCAGTTAACATCAGGTTGATCAGAGTTTGACTGCAGAAAGAATTAACACTTACATTATTGAAGGTTAGGTAACAGTAAAAACAATGGCAGGAATTCATGCTCGGTCATGAAGAAAAACTGTGTATAACTATTATTTTGAAAGTTTTGATTGTGATAATTGTATCTAGGACAGAAAACTTTTTATTAAATATTTCCAACTTATAATACAGTATCATAGTTAGTTTCATACATAATAGCTGTGTATACATACATGTCCATACCTTCCATGCCCAAAATTTACATCCACTAGAGGTTCACCAACATCTTCCATCTCTAATTTGATAGTTTCTAAACCCTATCGACAAATAAATTAAAACAATATCTTTAAGTTGTAATACAAAATAATTCTTGACTGCTGGCTGCTGGTCTTTTCTCTTAGGGTCACTTAGACAAGTGTTTAACATAACATAACATAAAACCTTTATTTTAACACAATAAGAATTAAAGCTACAAAGCTTGCGGTGTCGTGTATACTACTGAATCAAAATATGTAAAGCCATCGCAAATACAAATTGGTGGTATGGCATGTCTCCTCCCATTCCCCTTTAGGCTAAAACATCTTGCCTCATAACCCCTGCTGAATTTTGAGAGAAAAACAGACTGCCACCAGTCAACATAATTTCTTTGAACTATAACGAGTTGAATTCATTTGGTAATTGCATTAACAATGATAACTATAATTATTACTAATTTAATAAAGCTCACTCTTAAATTACATTAAAATTTAACATGGGCCAAAGAATAATTTTGTATTTTAATATTCATTATTATATAATATTTAGGAGTTCAGCTTGAGGAGCAACTTAATTGAGAGCAGCGGTACATGTTCCTGTACGTTTACTCGACTGTTGTTGCTGCTACTGTAATACATCAAGACAAGGTATTAATTACAACTTACTGTACCTTGGTTAATAATATTGAATAGAGAAATAAGAGAACACCAAACCGTCCTTCTAACATGGCTATATTCTTGTTAATAACTTGATTGACATCTTCAGGAGTACAACACTGAACCTCACTGTGAACACAAAATAAAAGTCACTTTAAGAACATAGAAAACTACAATGTACTGTACTTCTAGTAATTTGTCTTTTCAGAACTTTAAAATCATTTGTAACTTCATCCATTGGATATAAAGTGCACTACACACATGTTTTGAAGGGAAGTTCCCATTTTTCATAGGCAGAGTTCGTATTTAACATGTATAAAGGCAGCAGGTAAACCTAATTAAAAAAATCCTATCAATGAACACATTTAATTTTCATGGGGCTAAATGTAATTTATGCAAAGTTAACCTTGAGTCAACGCTGGCAAGTGGTTTTTTGTCTCGTGTGGCTTAGGGTGGTCCCAAGCCTTTAGCAGGGGCCCCCTGTGACCTTTGCTTGCATTTGTTTGCTTGCAGCCTTTCGCAAAGGCTGTTTTGCTTGCAGTTTCACTCACTAGCTGTTTGCTTGCTATCTTTCACCCAGCCCACCCTTCCCTCTCTTCATTTGGGTGCAGTAAGTATTGGTTGGTAAGTATTCCACTGAGCGGTTCAGTGTGACGGTGCCTGGTGGTGGCTGCTTGCAGGGTTGGCATGGATACCTCCTGTGCTAGAGCATTGCCTGGCTCCACTAGCTTTAAGGCACCAGCACCCAAGCTCATCTATTGATGATGAGTTGAATTATTAAAATCCATGGGAGTGAAACTTGTCAGATACTGACTGATCATCTGATGCACTGCTACAATTCATTACACTGAGATAATTATAAATGTCAAGCTGGAACGTACCAAAGTTTTGAATGAAACATTTCACTAGACAGTGAAGTAAGCTCTTGAGCGCAGACTGACTTGTGATAATCAGGAGAACTTGAATCTAGGACAAAAAGACACACCGGTCATTGATCAGTATTCCTACAACATGTGATAATACAATGCATTACTGGCAGCAACAGAGCTTTATATGAAAATGCACATACATACCTTCTTTAAATGAATAATTTGCCCTTTTAGAGAATTAAAGTTGAACTGAGATAGGTATTACAGTGGCCACTGGGCAAAAAAAGTCTGCACATGTCTGTAAACATGTGAGGGCCAACTTATTATTCATGATTTTGTGTTCCCAGTGAGTTGTACATGTGTATCAAAAAAGGCAGAATGATGCTCTTATGGATGTCACAAGATAATTTGTACCTCATGAATAGACAAAACTTTGGTTTCAGAGAGTAAAAAGGTCCCAGATTTAATGCTCAAACTTCATCATCTGGGAAACAGTAAATCAACTTGTGCACAGCATGTGCAAGTGTAAAATACTGTCAAATATATTTAGAAAACAGTCCTAAGAAAATATGCACGCTCATTGGTTTAAAATTGTGTTTCTATAGCTCGATAGAAACACAGAACTAGCATGAGCTGTTGATGTAATGATGTGCCAGCAAAGAGAATTTACATTTTGATAATCAATGTTAACAAGTTGCTTTCCTTTGTTTTCGTCGCGGTGTTTTCTAATTAAAAGGAAATAGAAAACATGTTCTCCGTGTTTCTGTCGAGTTATAGAAACACTTATGAAAGTTTGGGAGACCTCAAAAAAGTTGTGGAAACACCAGTCTGCAGCTTGTGTTCCCAAAGCATTTCTCGTTCTCCCAAACTTTCACTCGTGTTTCTATAACTCGAAAGAAACACGGTACATGTTCTCTATTTCTTGAATAACAGGTACTTCAAAAATGTAAATGAGCATTTGAACAGCATTCTGACAATTAATGTAATTACATGAAATAGTCAGAGAGTCAAACTAGCTCAATCTACTCTCTACTGATTAACTATTGCAAGTAGTGAGTAAACATATCGTGTGAATTTGAATTTTCCAAAGATACTTGGTTACAAGTATAAAACACAATTTTATAGTTAGTGACAAGAACAGTTCTGGAGCATAAGTGGTTCAAATTTGTTGAGCATTCTGGAACTCTAGCAGAGTTCAGTGGAAACAGGCCAAACCTGGGCTGTTGGATGAAGCGTGTTCCTCTGTGTTTTCTGTGTCCGTTCTTTCAGCTGCCATGCATGACGTGAAGACTAAGTGATCCCTGAGAAACACCAGCGTAAATGTCTCAGATTTGACATTGCTAAGCATCTCACAAAGAGAGCAAACAAGAAATTGTCTTGCTTGCTCATCTGTTGAATTTAACAGAACCAGGTGCCATGTTATAGGATTTCTATTTAATCAAATAAAGTAATAATATTGTTAAAAAAAATTATTTTCCAAGAATTAACAATGTGCATCAGTCAGGGTGGTTTGGAATGTTGAAAGTAAGTTTCAGTTGCTTTGGTTTTACACATTGTTGTCCAATCGTGACTTGCTTGCACATGTTTTCCCATGCTTTGCAATGGCTACGCACATTTGTGCCAAGTTTTGACTTGTTCACTGGATTGTTTACAAGTGTCCTTTGTGATTGGTCAGAATGATTAACTTGGTTTGGTTTTACGACACTCAGTTAAAGACTGCTTTAAGATTGTGCAGTTCTAGAAAATATCCATTCTCCTCCAACAGAAGGGATTATAATTTCCTGGTGGTGGGTGGGAGGAGGTNGACCAAAAAATTTAAAGAAATGTATGAAGCTTAATTGAAATTTCCAGAGGGGTGGGAGATCTCAGAAAAAAATACTTCCGTGGGGGAGGTATGGATATTTTCTGGAACTACATATACACATTCAGAAATCTGGGGGATAACTGGTGACTTAGTGGATAAGAAGGAGTTCACTAGCCTCATAAATATTGCAGTGTTCAGCACAGCACTTCCCTAGCTTTTCTGGGTAACTTCTAAGACATAAAGCAGATAGGGAAATTGCTCTACTCCCTGTCGAATGAAGTACTAGTCTAATACGATAGCATGGTATTATTTGGCAATTTGGGAGGTACTTGGGTCATTTGTACCCATTACACGGTATCTAACTGAAATGAATATCCTTGAACTGAAAGACATTATATAGCATTCGACATTACACTTAAGCCAACCTGTTAATTGCCTCCAGTTATCAGGAGCTTGCGTTTCTTCTACAAATAGAATATTTTTTAAAATATATGCCTGAAAATTAAAGAAGGAATTGTATTACATGTACTTTCAGTCTCTCATACTGGATTATTTTGGAATGCAATGTGAATTGCCATAAAAGGAGTTGTTCTAATTTCATTACAAGGACTTACTTGATGAGTTTAAACCATCAAAAAATCTAACGAATATGTACCAACAGTATACTCAAAACTGGCTACCCTGCCAGACTCCTAGACTAGTCTTCTCTTACTCTTGTAATTCTGGCAATCATTTTCCTTGGCACTGATTTTATGTAAACTGTTTGCATTGAGTGATATATGTGATAGATGTACAAAATTAGAGGTAAGGGTTCTGTAGAATGCCTATTGATTTTTAATTTTTTCCATAAGGGCATGGTGGTTCATAACACAGTCTGGATTTTCCTATCTCTGCCCACATGTCATGGTGACCCACACTCATTGAGTGTGTGGAAAAGATTAACAAGTTTAAAAGTGATTTGAGAGAGACGAAAAAAAAATTTCAAGTTATTTAATGGCTTAGGGTCAGTCCATATAGTGAAAAACTGTGACCGGGGTCTTGAAAATTCTACCTAATAGCCAAGGCCGCAGGCCAAGGGTAGAATTTTCAAGTACAGACCTCCCAGCCTGTAAATAACAAAAATTTATTAACCTGGACAGATGCTATAATAGCACAAGGTCCTCCTTGTTCCTGAATAAGAGCACTTGGTTCCTCCGTAGAAAAGATAAAACCTAAAGGTAACATCACAAGTAATCAGAACAAGAACAACATTATTGCCATCCAGAAGGGTAAATGTAACAACTTATCTTACAAGAGCTGAAAAAACCCCATTATATTGCTAACAATTCTTTTCTAACTAGCCGCCTGCCTCAAAGCTAGACTATACCTGCCAACTTTTTCATAATCACATGCATGAGATTTTTATCTTAGGGAGGCTTTGATTTTCAAAGAAGTCCTGATCATATCGGAAGATGTGTAGAGATACTGAAGAAGGAGTTTCAAACATTTCCTAGTCCCAGTCTCAGGATATGTTTCGTCAAACAAGACACAGTCACCAGAATTTTCCATTGAAACTCAAAGACTTTGGTGAGTATACCTGGTCCATTATTCCTTTCTTCTTTCAGTTCAAGTCTACATATTTCTTGAAAATATGCAAGTTCAGGCTGTAATAGCTCAAATCTTTAAGCCGGGGGTGAGATTTTGGTCCGCAGGCATGAGTTGGCATGAGATTGAAGTTTATAACCCACAGGAGTGAGACTCAGGCCCAACACGTTAGTTGACAGTGGGGAAGAATGAAGGGACCAGGGGAAGGAGAAGGGTTTGGAGAGGAAAGAGACAGAAGAATTTGCTAAATATCATTGAAAACTACACTGCCAAAATATATATAAGTAAATCAGTGATGCCATGACGTTATATGTGATGAACGCTCAATGATCTATTGTAGTCTTACCGCAGTATTACGTAGTTCCGTTCTAATCAAAGGAACAATTCAGCCTTATAGTTTCTGTACGTGCACGTAGCTATTAGATTTGTCAGTTGTATCCTCGCTTTCACCACGAACGCAAGTCACCTAAGTCGAAGAAGTTAAAAGTGACCGCCTAGTGAAGCCAAAGCAGTCTACCTTTAGAGGCAAGCGTAGGACTGATATGTAAGTGTTGTCTTTACCTTTTAATAGTTAGTTTCCACGGAATTCTCAGTTAGTTTTCTTATCGATCGTATCTTATTAGTTATTGCAATTCCGTATATAGACTTGCTGTTTTCTACTGCCCTGCAGTCATAAGGTTTAGGTTAGTTT